TTGGCGGAGCGTGGCACTCGGCTCACGCAGTGACAAGTTGATTTGACGCGATTGTGTAAGTTGCAATGAGGTATCGTAACGGTCATGCAAAGGCGTGGACGCGCGCAAAGGCTGGTGGCAAGGAATGATGACAAGATCGAGCTCCCGCAGCGAAGCGAGAGGCAAGCGAGAGAGAGAATTCAAGGCTCGTGGGAATTTTTTTGCAAGCCTCTGGGAGTTTGTTGTTGAGGAATGCAGGTGAGGCTCGCGTGCACGGCGACAATGACCTTGTTTGAGTGGGTAAAGGCAGTTGGTAAATGCGCGTGGTGGGCGTGGGCATGGGAGTTGACGTCGGGTGTGGTGTGGGAGATGGTCAATGTTGGCGGAACAGAGTACAAGTCGGGTGGAAAGTCGATCTGTCGGACACGACTTCCAAGAAGGGGATGCGGTGAATGTCAGCGAAGCCGGGGGTGCGGACCCGGGGCAACCAACAAACAGAGGGGCTCGTTGGCGGGGGGACGTCGGGAGTCTCCAGAGGGGAGTCCAAACACTGGCAACTGGACGCAGTAAGGTAAGGTACCTTGTGTACCTGTAAATCAGGGCCTAGGCTTACCTTACCTTACACAGTACAATAGGTATGTACTTGCCATAAGTCAGGGCAAGCTTGTAACGGGTTGCGACCTCCTGTGCGGCTGGCGTATCTCCACCGGCGACTAGTGGGACCCTCTCAGTGCCTCCTTGGCGCGGCGCTAAGCCTGGCATGGCACATCTGAGGCCCCTGGACCTTGGAGAAGTCTTGGAAATCTTTCGGTCACCGCCTGCGATGCCGAAAGCAAGGACCACTGACCAAGTATTTCGCACCTTTCAGAGCACTTGGATTCGGTACCTTGAGGCTTGAGGTGGGCAGAGACCCCGTCATCTTTCCCACTATTAACCTTCTCTTCAGCTTGCCTGATCCAAGTCGTGTTATCGCCCAGCTGCCCACGGAGTATTACGTCGCAGATACACAGATGCGTGGAGACTGGACTAAGGTAGATTCTCCCTTGCAGTACGTATCACTCGTTGAGATACGACTATCCATATACTGCGTAAGCCTGCACATTGTCTTGGCCAGCTTCGGCAAGGGAGAGAGGAATCCAACCCCGGCCAGCTTTTAAGAGAGTCGGTAAAAAAAGGCTTGTCTCCTAGCAGCAAACCTGGGAGGACCTGGGATGACAGCAAAAACGAGAGACGAGAATGAGGCGTGAGTGAGGATGTTCTCTGTAGAAAAGCAGGGGCACTCGTAGGCACGTCGTTTTAGTGCGATGAACAACGCAGCGCCGTCTCATGGGGAGGCCCTGCATACCTTAGCTTAGCACCATCGCACACCAAACACATTGTCTGGCGCCGACTCACTTGCCCTTGGCAACCAGAAATCTGCAAGGCAACGCAGCTAACGTTTGGCGCGTCGAATAAGGTCGCACGAAACTTGGATGGCAAGACAGACTGACGGGCGACAAGAAAGTCTGCAAGCCGGATCAAGGCCAGATCAAGGTCACGCTCGCAATCCTTCCATCTCTCTGGCATGCAAACGACGCAAGCACTCACACGACAGCTATCAGTGAGCACACCTCTTTCTAATCACGTAGCACACTTTGCATTCTCGCCCTCGCCCGTTGTATCCGTACGTCTCTTTCTCTCACTCCATCTCTCATGCATATCAAGGAAGCACTAAACACCAACCATTCCCACATCTTATTCTCCTCCTCCGCTTTCTTTCTTGTTCGCGATTCTCACGATGCTTCAGAAACAGCGGCTCTCGACCGATCTCTCTTCGCTTGCTTTTTTCGTCGCAAGATCGGCTGACTCGCCCCGGTTCATAGTACACTACAAAGTACCCCCCCTGGTGCTAAATTGCGGTTCCCCGGAGCTCCCCCAGCTATACCAAAACGGAAGAAAGTAAACAAAGGGCCCGAGCTTTGCGACGAAGCACCGCCCAACGCCCAACTCGACACTCGACCACGGCACCACAGTACCACGGCCAAAGTGGGAGACCAAGGGGGAAAAAAAGACCACTTTCACCTTGGACCAGGCCCTGGACTCCCGCTCGACAAGCGAACAAGCGAACAAGCCCGCCCGCTACCGCCGCTGTCCCAAGCAACCAGACTGCTGTCGATCCGCTTGCTTTATTAAACCCAATTGCTTTTGGTCCGCCCTAAATACACAAGCCAGGCCGTCCTGACTGACACACGACAGCCCGTTCCCTGGATACCCATTTCTTCTCTCGAAACTCTCCTAGCATACTGTCGCTTCGCCTGCGCAACTCTCTTCTCGAAATCCCTCGGTCTAGGACTCCCGGGTCGACCGTCGCCAGCTCCTCCCTCCCTCCCACTCCATCTTTGCTGCAAGGAATTCTGTTGAGCGAACAAAAACGATTCAATGACGTCCAAATCGGCCGCGATGGCCGACGAGGGTGTCGCCGAACACTATCAAGTTCTGGAGGAGCTCGGTCGTAAGTCTTGCCATTGTCTACGTCCTTTTGGAAACAATTGCGCTGACATGATGTCCAGGTGGAAGTTTCGGTGTCGTTTACAAAGCCATTGAAAAGGCCACTGGCGAGACGGTCGCCATCAAACATGTAAGTCGACGCATCGCATCTTCGACCTGGTATACTACGAACAACAGACTAACAAAGGCCTGCGCAGATCGACCTCGAGTCAAGCGAAGATGACATTCAAGAGATCCAAGGCGAGATCGCTGTGCTGAGTACATGCGCGAGTTCCTTCGTCACGCAATACAAAGGCAGTTTCCTGCGCGGCCACAAGCTCTGGATCGTCATGGAATATCTTGGTGGTGGTTCATGTCTCGACTTGGTATGTCACTTGGCGCAACACGTTTGCCGGAGTCCGGCTAGCTAACATTCCTCAGCTCAAACCCGCCAACTTTGCCGAGGTCCACATCGCCATCATCTGTCGAGAGCTTCTTCGTGGTCTCGAATACCTCCACGCCGAGGGCAAAATCCACAGAGATATCAAGGCTGCCAATGTTCTCTTGTCCGAGGCAGGAAAAGTCAAGCTGGCCGATTTCGGCGTCGCCGCTCAATTGACCAATATCAAGTCCCAGCGGAACACCTTCGTCGGCACTCCTTTTTGGATGGCCCCCGAAGTCATCCAACAGGATGGCTATGGTTTTAAGGCAGACATCTGGTCTCTCGGAATCACTGCCATGGAGATGGCCAACGGCGAACCTCCCCTGGCGCACATTCATCCGATGAAAGTTTTGTTCCACATCCCAAAGAACTCTCCTCCACGACTGGAGAACAACTTCAGCAAGGACTTTAGGGATTTTGTTGCACAGTGCTTGGTCAAGGACTCTGATCGCAGGCCTTCGGCTAAAGATCTCCTCCGTCACCGATTCATTAGATCGGCGGGCAAAGTTGAGGCCCTTCAGGAGCTGATTGCGCGCAAGCAGATGTGGGATGCGAACCAGAACCGGAGGTCCCATCCCACCTTTTACCAAGAGACCCTGCATACCATGTCTTCCAGGGACGACACGGACGAATGGGTGTTTGACACGGTCAAGTCAGTGGCGCCAAAGCGGCCGAATGGTCATGCACGGAAGCCTTCCTATTTTGCGGCAGAGGAGGCCATGCGCCGGCTCGACCCCAAGGACGCGCCGCTCGGCCCTTCGTCACCCGCTCCCGGGACAGTTCGCCGGTCGACTGTGCGTCGCCAGCCCTCGAGCCGCCAGAGTTCCGGCACACAGATCCAAACAAACGGCTCGCCTCGCTCGACCGTCGCTAGACGGCCTTTACAACCAGACATGTCGTACGGTAACTCTGGGTCCTCCGTGCGGCTCTTCCGCCGGGTGCCCTCGGATGGCTCCGTCACCGCATGGGAGGACACTTCGCCTGAGGGTACTATGGGCAATGAGAACAAAGCACCAATGCGGGCAGCCGCGATTGATACCAATAGCAAAGAGGCGCTGCTTGGGCGGCGACTCTTTAACAGGGTCCTGGACCCTACCCTCGCCGAGCTTCACGCGCAGACATCAGGCATGCAGAGGCGGGAGGCGCTTGCGAAGCTCACCGATGCCTTCGCGCTTTTGGACTCTGTTGATCCCGAGGGTGCCTACCACCTCATGCAGAACATGATGACAGCTGTCTCCCAGGATCCCAAGCTGAACCAGGCCTTGATGCCCCAGCAATCGGTCAAGATTCCGTCGGATGGCACTCCCCAAGGAACGGTTATCATCAGGAGCGCCGCTCCCACGCCATCAAGCAGCCCGACCAAGCTGATGATGGCAGCAAACAACCCGCACCTCAAGAGCCATAGGAGGCGCAATGGGTCGATTGCGACACCCGAATCTGCCGAGAAGGAACGTAGCGAGAAGACGGCCGTGGAAGCCAAGTATCCCGGTCGCCCTCCCCGGCCCGGTATGGAGCACTGCAAGCAGCTATCGGACGTGCTTTACGGCCGGTGGACGGAGGGCTTGAGAATCAGATGGCCAGCGGTCTAGATCCGATCTCTGTTTGACGGTCATCTGAAGGATATGGGTAAAGATTGACACAACATTGTTATTCACGAGAAACATGCTGTATGATGAGAAGTGTATGAACACGTCGCAGCATACCGGGTTGGACAGCACACACAAAAAGCATTGGGAGAGAGTTTTCATTTCAGCTTTGGGCAGATTGGAGAGTTACCACTGAGGGTTAGGCTTGGTTTTCATTTTCTATCCGGATGGAAGACGCTGATGATGGGACTGACTTTTTTCCGTTGATGATCTTACTTTCACGACGGGATGAGTGTCTACACGCGGCCGATTCGGGTTTTCATGTTCGCTCTTCTGCTTCGCATTGGGTTTGGCGTTTTTTGGGGTCTTCATTTGGTAGTAGTTAGATACCTCCTAGGTAGCGTCAAGATTGCGTCTTTTTCAACAATGAAAAGGGATTCGTTGCGGTATGATTCATGTTCCCGTTTGCGTGGAGATTGTGTGTAAAACATCGTGATTGATATTTGAATTAGCCAATAAGTAGTATCCTATGGCTCCTCCGCCAATGGGACATTCTTCATGGAGAGCTTTATTCTCCAGTTGATGAAGTCGTCCGTCAAGAGCTCCCCGTGCCCGGCCTCGTCGACTTTGAAGACTTCAATGGTGGGCTCGCCCGCCCGCCTGCGTATCCTCCACACGCCGTCATCGTTGATCGTCTGCCGAAGCCCTGCGACTGAGGGTTAGTGACGGCTTTATTCATACTCAAGCAGCTAATGTAGTAAAATTGGCACGACAGAAGGTAGGTTTAGAGGAATTATGGAAAAAGGAAAGTAAGAGAGTTCGAGATGAGAAGGGAGTAAGGGGGCAAGGGAGGAGAGAACCCACAAACGAGAAACTCGGCGGCGAAGTTGACGCACATGTCGCCATTCCACGTCGCTTTCCCGCGGCGCAGGACGGTATCGGGTATCTTTTCAGTCTCAATCTCCTCGACGTCGGTGAGGATGCCGTGGCGGTTGCGGAAGCCGACGATTATTTTGGGGACGCCGAGGAGGAAGGACTGGATCCAGAACTTCATGAGCTTGCGGTGGAAGTTGTCGACGTCGCGGTCGTCGCGGATGGCGAGGCTGGTCTTGAGCTCGACCCAGTTTGTGGGGGCGCCCTGCTTTTGGGGCTTCGAGTCCCAGACTTTGGAAAGGGTAGCGTAATGTCAATAGGCGATGACGATAAGCTGAGTGGGCGAGATGAGGGGCAACGTACCGGCGTCGACTTCGCCGCCTATGCAGATTACGGTTTGTCCTATACCAGTCCTGACTACGGAGCAGTATTGGGCCTTGTTGTTCACCACCTCGACGTCTCTGTTCTCGATATATTCTCTGGGCGTTTCGCCCCAGGTGTTGGGGAGCGTGGCCAACGTCTCGAACTTGTATCCTGAGTTTTCGATTAGCATGCTTCATCTGTCTGGCAGAGGAAGAAGAGAGGCTCTGGTATACCCCAGAACTGCATCACTTCGGGCGGGATCGGTCCCCGTCTCTGCTGTGCGTTTTGCTGCTTCTGAGACGCCACTTTGTACTCGTGATTCTCTTCAATGTAACTATTCCAATTGTCAGTCTGGCCGGAAGGGATGGAATCGTCACGACGTTGCTGTGCTTGCCGTACATGCAGTCCTGATTTATGTTTTGGTCAGCTCAATTGTTTGTATGTGGAAGTTATGGGAGTGTGTTCATGCGCACTTGGTACAGCGTTGCGTTCATCTCAAAGCTAGCTGTGCTGTCAGCCCCCAATCATTTGAGTAAATCTGCAATGGTGGATGCAAGACTAACCCATCACGATCCTCAAAGGGCGATGCCATGATCTGTTTTTCTCTTGGTTAGTTGAGCCTGGAACAGGGATAGCAGGAGTAACTTCATGCCTTGGTCATCATGCCACGCCATGTCACGATTTGGGCGTCAATCTTTTGACCCGTCTCCTCCTCGTGAGCCTTGATAGTCTTGAGAAGAGCTGTTAGGTGCTCGGGCTGAGAGTCGTCGTGCTTGATAAAGGTATCATAGCCTTTGGATAAGTCGGCGCCGAGGGTAGGTGGGTAGTAGTATCTCAATGAAGAGTCGCCTAGATGGAACTCATGGTTGTCGTCATATGAGAAGCAAGCGAACTCCTGATCCGTATTAGTCAAAATGTGTTAAGTTATTTCATTGATACATGAGACTCATGTTGACGAGATATCCACCGCAACAAGAAATCCGGGATGCATACCTTTGGTCGTTTGACCGGCTGGCTTGCGGCATAGAAACGCCCAATAGGCTGGATGGGGAATTGTTCCGACATGACGGCTGATGATGCAGCGTAGCACTTGGATCTGAATTTCAGAAGGCGTCGTGTTATTCCAGCAGGCATCCCATTATTCAGGAGTCGATGTGAGTAACGGGCTCGGTCGGCAGCCCCGGTCTCAAGCTTCGGTGTCGGGAGTTGAGAAAGGAGCGTCTGCGGCGCAACGGCTCGTCGAGACGGCAGGGCGGGTCAATTGGCATGGAGTCCGTCCGGGGTTAGTGGAGAACTGATGTCGACCGCTGAAGCGAACCACTGAGAGCCCTAGGTGACATCCAAACATCGCTGAAACATGCATGCGGACGGCTGGGCTAGAGCCATCCGGCACCCCTAGCTGCAGCGGGACGCCAGCACTTTCCAGGTTGACAAGCCAGCTCCATCCACTTCAACCACGAATACAACTTCATCAACTTGGAATCCTCACCCCCCTTCGCCCGGTCACCAACAGATTGACAGCACGATTGACTCGAGAATAAGCGCCGCATCTCTCCTTCGAGCCGATCATCGCTCCCTACCGATACTTGCCGGTCCTCACTCCCTGACGACCCCTCGTTCGCGATGCGATTCCCCTCCCTACCGACCTAATTCGCTATACATACCTGCTCCCGCACCATGTCCAATCGGTACGGCGGTGGCGGCGGCTACCGCAACGGCAACGGATATGGCAACTTTGGCAGGCAAGAAGAGGATTACGATCCATACGGAAATGGATATTCAGGCAGCGACAGAGGAGGCGGCGGTGACCGATACGCCGTGGGATCACCGCCAGCGATGAACCCCCGATCACCACCTACACTTCGAAGCGGGGGCCCACCGCCAGTCCGCAGCCGCGAGCGCATCCAGGAGACGAACGCGGAAAGACAGATTGGCCAGGTCCTTGAGCGCGTCAAGGTGGAGTGGCCGGCAATGTGCCAGACCGACTGCGTGCCCGTCCAGCTCGCCCTCCAGCTCCTCGACACCAGCTCAGTAGGCCGCGCGCACGACTACAATCAGTTCCGACAGACGCACGACTATCTGCAAAATTCCCTCAAAGGCATCGTCCACGAGCACCACCAGGGCTTCAACAGTTCGATCGGAACGTTCCACAAGATCCAGGGGAGCATCCAGGCCTCGCAGAAGAGGGTGCGCACGCTCAAGGACTCCCTGCTGACGTCCAAGGTGAGCCTCTGCACGTCGGACCCGGACCTTAAGAAGCTCTCGGCCACATCTCAGGCTTACGATGAGCTGCTCACCACGCTTAACGAGCTGGAGGAGCTGCGTCTGGTGCCGGATCAACTAGAAGCCCGCATCTCCGAGAAGCGCTTCCTAAGTGCAGTTGAGGTCTTGCAGAATGCTCTTCGCAAACTGAGGAAACCAGAGCTGGACGATATTGGTGCTCTGAGCGATCTGAGGGGCTACCTTGCCAATCAGGATACAGCACTCATGGACATCTTGGTTGAGGAGCTGCATGAGCACCTCTACCTCAAGTCGCCGTATTGTCAAGAGCGGTGGCAGAACCTCGCCAAGACTCAAGGCGCTCTCAAGGAGGGCAACTACGAATCAATCACCATTGCTCCTTTCCACCAGGTCTTGGACGCCATGGATTTCGAAGCATCGGCGACTGAAGATCCGGCCAAAAACCCGGAGGCTGACACCTTCTCATACGTGTCACTGCTCGTGGAGTCCCTTAACAAATTAGGAAGATTAGAGACGGCTGTTGACACTCTCAAGCAGAGACTACCTGTCGAGCTGTTTACCATTGTGAATGAGACACTTAACGAGGTCGACCAACGGCATCCTAGCTCATTACGCGGCGGCTCGACCAACTCTCAGGGACTGCACATCTACGGCAGTCGAGAGACCCAAATGAGAGCAGATGTCATTTACGATCTCCTGTGGACGCTTTTTGGCAAGTTTGAGGCTATTGCTGAGGGTCACCGCGTGTTCCACGAGGCGATCAAGGCCCTCATCCGACGAGAAGGCGCTGGAAACAACAGCGCTCTGTTGGGTAGCTTCAAGGAGCTTTGGAATCTCTACCAGAACGAGATTCGTTCTTTGCTGCACAACTACGTCACCACGGACGCCGACGTGTACCAGTTTAGTACATCACCAAAGCTTGGGACTAATGCTAATGGTAAAAAGGATGCCGCTAGAGAGCACCTATTCAAGTTTTCTGAGGGCGACCCCAAAGCTGTTGATATGACGACTGAATACGAGGCTCTTGAGAGCATTATCCGATCTGCCGTTCCCGGCTTGACTGACACTTCTCGGAAGGCCGGGGCTGACAAGAAGCGACCAGTACCCGAGGGCAGCACCAAGAGAGGAGGAGGCGCTACAGGTTGGGAGAACAAGCAGACAACTGGTACATACAAGTCTCTGGTCGAGCCCAGCGTCTTTAACATGAGCTTGCTCCTCCCTCCTACTCTTGTCTTCCTTCAGCGTCTCAAGATGATTGTACCACCGGGCTCAGATCTTGCCACCAGCACATTGACGTCCTTCTTGGATAACTTCCTGGTCAACGTCTTCCAGCCTCAGCTGGATGAGACTCTCGGAAAGTTGAGCGATACCATCTTTGGCGAAGCTGATACATTTTTACAAGACCAGGAATGGACTCAAGTTGCCAGACGCCCCGTCTTCAAGGGCACGACAGCTTTCTTTGCCATTGTCACAGCTTTCTGCCGCATGCTGGGCACCATCCCACACGATCAGGCTTTGAGCACGCTCATCATTACCCAGATGATGAGATACTACGACCGTGCTTTTGGATGGTACAAGTCCCTTGTGAGCAAAACTCAGGCGCAACCAGACAAGCCCACAAAGCTACGCATGTCTGCAGCGATGGCTCTAGAGGAGGGCGATGTCCAAGAAACTATCAAGCAACTGTGGACATCGGACACACTGGAGCGCGAACTTCTCGAGAAGGAAGTCGGTTTGCTCATTGTTCAGACCAATGAGAAGCGCATGGAGATGGCCGACATCATCCAAGACAAGGACACCATCTCTTCTCTTTGTCTTTTATATACCAGCATGAAGTGGCTTGCAGTCAAGATCTCAGGTCTGCGTCACATTACTCGCAACGAATCCGACTCTTCCCGCCCAAACATGAACCGAGGCTCGAGCAAGCGGTGGACGCTCATGAACGACCCCAACAAGGCGACAAACGAAGATGGACCTGTGTGTCTGCCAATGACGCAGGAGACCGTCCAGTAAGTTTTCTTCTCTTCTTGAAGTCCCCATACCATTCTTGCCTTGCTAACACAAATACCAGGGCTTTCGATGGAATCGTCTCGTCGTTTGAAGAACTTGCCGGCACCGCGCTCTTGACCCTCCACATGGAGATTCGATGCGAAATCATCTACTCCCTCCGCACTGCCCTGTCCACCGACACGGCCCCCTATCTTCTCGACCAGGAAGTTACGGAGCCTGATCCGCAAATCCTCAATCTCAACTCGGACCTCGTCCTCTACGATGAGACTATTGCGCGGTACCTTCGCGCCAAGGAAACGGCCTTCATCCGCACCGGTCTGGGCTTGCTCATCAACGACTACCTAGTCACCAACGCTGCCTTTGTCTCGCCCATGAACGCAAAGGGATGCGGCCGCATGCAGCTCAACATCTTGGTCCTGCAGCAGAACCTCAAGAACGTGGAGGAGGGCGTCGACCTCGCGCGCGCGTCAAATTACTTTGCCCTCTTTGACAAGGGACCCGACGCTATTGTCGAAAAGGCCAGCGAAGATAAGGACAAGGACGAGCACGCGGACCCGTCTGACACATTTAGCTACGAAGAGCTGAGGACGCTGCTGGAACTGTGCTTCAGCGAGCAGCTGTCCAACCCCGAGCGGGGGATCGCCAGCGCCGCCAAGAGGCAGATGGCGGATAAGATGCTTGGGCTTAGCGAGCACATGTGGCAGACTTAGAAGACGGAGAGAGAAGTGGTCTTTTTTTTTTCATGGCTGATGATGTGTAGTTGATTCGATCACGGCTGGCTGGCTATGATTTAACTCTACTTGCACTTTGCGAGGCGTTCAGGAGAGGTAGAGAAACAGAGAAAGAGGGTTACTGACATCATCTGGACTTGCCCTATCATGTGGTTTCGGTCCTACTGCGTGGCTACGACACACACACCAGAGTTGTCGTTTCCGATTCATCACCGAAATCTGGGAGAAATGACACCCTGCAAGTCTTTATGAAATTTTGGGGGGGTATTATTCTTGTAGTCTATAGCTTTTTCAATGCCAGCAAACTTTTCCCAACCACATGTACACGAAAACACATGCACACAATTCGTAATTCTTCCGCGTCCACCTTTTCTCGTCCTTCCATCTCTCTCATACATTTCACCCATACATCCCGCCACTCAGACTCGCAGCACCCCAGCACCATCCATCACCAATCCTCTCACGAAGAAGCAACGAGATCTCTCCCCCTGTTGATCTGCACCTTCTTGTCCTCGCCACCGCTGACCAGACCCCACGTCTGGTCCCACGCGAGGCCAAACACCTTGACGCCCTCGCCGCCGGCGGGCGCCTTCTTGCCTTTGAGCCACTCCCGACCGATAGAGTAGACGGCCTCGCTGACGCTGCCGCCGCCCTCGTCCTTTGTCGCGGGCCGCACGCTCCGCAGATCCCAGATCTTGACGGTGCCGTCGTGCGACGCCGACGCCAGGCTGTAGTCGTTGTCCGGGGAGGGCGCGAGCGCCGAGACCATGTTGGCGTGGCCGCGGAGGGTGAGGACCGAGGTGGCGGACGCCGAGGCGCGGGGGTCGAGGAGGGTGACGTGGCGGGCCGAGGAGCCGGCGGCCACGAGGGAGGAGTTGCGCGGCATGGGCGCGAGGCAGAGGAGCGGGTGGAGGGTGGTGAGGGTGGAGACGACGGAGGCGGTGGTGAGGTCGAGGGTGCGGAGGGTGTGGTCCGCCGATACGGAGTAGGCGACGGTGGCGTCGGTGGGGTGGAAGGCGGCGCCCGTGACGGAGGCGTCGGCGGCGTGGGCCTGGATCATGGCCAGGGCGCCCTTTTGCGGGA